GTACCGGAGAAAAACCAAAAAAAAAAAAAAAAAAAAAAAGGAGTAATGATGATTACCCTTGAATATGGTTGAATTAGAAGTTCTGTTGTCCTAAGTTTTTAAAATTGTAATTTTTAAAGTGTTTTAAAGAATTCAAATTTCTTAGGCATTTTGAGCATCTTACGTATAGCTCCTTGGGTAATTTGCTCCCAAGTTTGGCTCAATCCTGGGTAGTTTCTGAGACCTACTCAGATCTCTGCTACAAATAATCTAAAATGTCTTGTTCCTACCTTTTGCTTCAGAAAATAAAGCTTTTAATTTTCAAAGTTTGTTTTTCTAAGTTAAAGTATCATTCTAGAAAATAGTGAAAATCATACTGTTTTTGTTTAACTTTTCTCCGCTTATCATTTTATCAAGTGAGCCTCCACCTGCTTCCTTAGTCTTCTGAAACATTACCACCATTACTAAAATGGCAGTATTGAAAGCAAGTGTTTGCAGAGCATCTTTGCATATTCTGCCTTGAGTCACTGGGGTGGCTGCTGTGATAGGGAGAGGACTGGAGATACAGGTGTTCGGGATCACAAGCTTGGTCAGATCTTGCCATTCTTAAGAGACTCTACATACCGGACCCACCCAGGGGCACTTTCCCTAACCTACACCTATGACATACAGGTGAGACCCACAGGCCCAACTGTTCTGCCAGAGCAGGGCGGGAGGGGCCCAGTTAGGTCCGGATGAAACTTGTCCTTGTGGGTCTCTTTGTGTTGAAAGAGGAACTTTGTTCTGGTTTGCAGTTCTGACGCTCCTCTCTCCCTCCACAGCTGTGCATGCCTAAAGGGCTGTCTTTCAGGACACAAAGCGACAGTAAAGACCCTCAGTTCCACTCGTTTATAATTACTCGGGAAGACGGTTCTCGCACCTATGGCTTCGTCCTCACTTTCTATGAAGAAGTTACAAGCAAGCAGATCTGCACGGCGATGCAGACGCTCTACCAGATGCACAACGCAGAGCACTGCAGCAGCGTGTGCGCGTCCTCCTCCTGCAGCATGGACTCGCTGGCCAGCAGCGCCGACGAGGCCGACACCACCTCCCTTCTGAAGCTCCAGCGGTACAACTCTTACGATATCAGCAGAGACACCCTGTATGTTTCGAAAAGTATCTGCCTCATCACCCCACTCCCTTTCATGCAGGCCTGCAAGAAGTTCCTGGTCCAGCTTCACAAAGCAGTTACCTCGCAGCAACCGCCCCCCTTGCCGCTGGAAAGCTACATCCATAATATTCTGTACGAAGTACCCCTCCCGCCTCCAGGGCGCTCACTTAAGTTTTATGGTGTTTATGAACCTGTCATCTGCCAGAGGCCTGGACCCAATGAGCTGCCGCTGTCTGACTACCCTCTCCGAGAGGCCTTTGAGCTCCTGGGGCTGGAGAACCTGGTGCAAGTGTTCACCTGTGTTCTGTTAGAGATGCAGATCCTTCTCTACTCACAAGGTAAGTGTTCTTTGCACTTCATTCTGTGCTCTCAACTACTGTATTTCCTTGCGTTACATTATTGGAAGCAAATAACGAATGGCCAGGAGTCCTCTGTTTCCTATCAAAGCAGCAAGTGTGGAAGGATCTACCAGCTGCAGTGCAGCTTTTTTCTTTGTGCCCACAGTGGCTGTAGAGAAACAGCAAGGGATGTAAAAGTGCTTCCATAACACATTTATTTATTTTTTAATAAAAATGGACTTTTTTCCTGATAATTCATAATCACCATTAAAGAAACATTCTTTTCATACTGAGAGTGGGGAGAGACCTATTACTACAAGGAACGCGTAGATTGATTCTTTGCAGATTAGTAAAGGTGCATGCAAACTCAACTACATTGAGAGGAAGAAGTGAGAGCACTGACTCTGGGCTTCTTGAGCAGCTCCCAGCTCACAGGAGGGAGGAAGAGGCACCAGGCAGAAGACAGGCCTGACTTTCCCAGGCCCAACCATGAGCGCAGGTTGGATGTGTGTGGGCTTGGGATTTTTGTTTTAGGACACAGAGGGAAAAAGTTACCTTTATAATATCATTTATTCAAAGCTCTCCAAACACACACTTAAACTGTCAAGCTGGGCTGAGACTGTGGCTCAGGGGTAGAGCACTTGCCTAGCACACGCAGCGCCCTGGGTTCAGTTACCACCACCACCACCACTCCTTTCGAAAAGAAAAGAAAAAAAAGAAGCTAACAAATGGAGTTCTTTTATACCACTAGTTTTGTAGTGACTACCATTGAGCCTCAACTAGGGTACGAGTTCCCATCCGAGTGAATTCACAGGAGAGGGCGAGATGTGTGCCTTCAGGGGCAGCCAGGGAATTGCGGAGTGGTACCTGTGGGTGGAGCCTTCTGGAAATGCGGCAGAGATGTTTGGGTTAGGATTTTGCTGATTTAACTTGTATTTAGGCTAGCAGAATGAATTATAGTGCAGTCTCCCAACTGCTCCTATCAAGCTTATTTTACCACTTCCGTTGTTTTTATTTTTCTATTTTAAATTATCAGGCAAGGCTGAGCCAAGTGGGCTATATTTGTACTCCCCATCTTGTGTGTATGTTGACACTGTTTGTGTGTTGACAGCCTGTCAGGAGGTTGTGTTTGCTTTCAGTTTATGCTGCAGGATGTTCTTTGACGCTGTGTTCTCGGTTTTGTCAGGAGTTCCTCTGTCATGGCCAGTCTGAATTCCCTCCTTCCTGTCGTCCGTCCTCCAGAGTGCTCAGCATCACCTGTAATCTGCCTGTTTGCAGTTGAAACTCCTTTTAAATAACTTTCTCTCTCCTGTTCCCTGAAGAGGGTAGGGTTGGAGAGTTGCATGGTGTAGGTGCTCACATGGGTTCAGATTTTGGAGCCTTTCATTTTATGTTAAGGCTGTTCAGCTGGTATTGGTTTTGGAAGTCATAATAGTTTTGGATTCAAATCTCTGCTGTATCCCTTAGTGATGTAACTATGGGTAGGTTGCTTAATCTTCCTGTCAGTTCCCTCCTCTCTGGGGTGACAGTTCTCACCCCAACTGATTGACTGTGAAGGTTAAGTAAGAACCCATACAGAGCACTCAGGGTGTAACTGACACTGCCCAAGTGATGGCTGATGTGATTGTAATTATTATTGGTGTTACCAGTCCCATGGAATTGTCTGTGGAGTATATTCATTTGAAGTTGTGAAGATCCAACATATTACTGTATGTAAATTATAGCTTCATTAAGCAGTCAAAGTGTTGGGCTGAGAATGTGGCTCAGCATAGCACTTGCCTAACAGGCAAAGCCCTTGGGTTCAATCCCCAGTGCCACCCCAAAAAACCTAAAATAGAACTCAAATAAACAGAACTTAATAAATGTTCTCTCATACTCTGTGCCATGCCCTTTTTTTTAAGTAAGACAAAACAAAGCTTTCCATTATCACACTTCCTTTTTTAAACAGCATTGTGTGTTTCATTGTTTGTCTGGCCTGAACATTTACCCTTTACCCTTTTCCTTTTAACCTCTACCCTTCGATCTATATGAGCAGTTTGTCCTGTTGGTTTAAGGAAGAGTCTGTTACGAAGTTTGCGTTGACTTATTTACCAGTTTAGTTAACATTAAATGAAGAAGAATATTTAGGGCCGGTTTGTACCCTGAATATTTTTTGGTAACTTGGTCCTCATGCTGATAACAACAGAGTGAGTCCTGAGATTATAGGACTCGGCTTACTGTGGCGCCTCGGTTCGTGAACTTCATTCTTCCTGCACTTCTGGTCAAAAACCAAACTGGATGAGAAGCAAATCAAAGTCCGTGCTTAGGTTCAGTGTTGCCCTTGTGGGGAAATTTGATTTGGTTCTCGTCTAATTCTGTTTATGACCAGAATGGTGGAGAGAATGCAGGTGTGGACCAAGGTACCACTGTATTTATTTTTTGAAACAGGTTCTTACTATGTTGCTTATACTAGCCTCCTACTCAGGATCATCCAACTCATGATACTGCCTCAGCCTCCTGAGTGACTGGAATTACAGGCATGCATCATGGAACCCCACTCCTAGAACTAGACTTCTTTCTTTCTGTGTCATATGGAAAGAAAGGAGGGCCAGGGATTTAGCTCGTGGCACAGCACCTGCCTGGCAAGTGTAAGGCCCTGAGTTTAATCCCTGGTACCCCCAAATAAACAAACAAAAAAAAGGACATTTTGGAATTTTCTCCTCCATTTGATCCCATCATCGTGAGCTGGTGTTGTCATCAGTGTGTAATTGAGGAGGAAATTCAGGATCAGGAACGCTCAGTAACTGCCCGAGATGGCCAGCAGATAAGCGAGTGGCAGCGCCGAGAACTGGGTTCAGTCTTTCCCCAGGTATTTCCCCACCTCGCCGGCTGTGCCCACTTCGCCGTTCCTGGCTGTCTGTTTATTGTGCAGTAATCAGCTCCACGGTCATTTCTCTTAGAACGTTGTCCACCAAGGACTCGCAGAGTGTGAAGCAGAAGCCTTATGTAAATGCAGATTTTAAAGATGGTATCTTTCCCATTAGAGAACGGTTTTGCCTAAACAAATTAAATCCAAGAGTTACTGCGTTGACTCATCTGGTGCCCTTGCCCTTCCCAACTCTGAAAGGGCTTTTCAGGACATATACTTCATTTCCTACTAGCTGGTAAATGTGTGCCAAAACATTTAAAAATGTTTCAGGGACTAGGGATATAGCTCAGCGGCACAAGCACCTGCCTGGCAAGTACAAGGTCCTGAGTTCGATTCCTAGTACCAGAAAAAGATTCAGTTGGGCCAGGGATATATAGCTCAGCAGCACAGTGCCTGCCTGGCAAGCACAGGGTCCTGAGTTCAATTACCAGTACCAAAAAAAGAAAAGTTCTCATGAAAACCCAAAGCTAGTTAAAGTGGATGGATTTCAGTGATGAAACTGTCTGTCTAGACTGATTTGAATTCTGGTCAGTAGCCCGTGTAAACAGACACAGCCTGTTGTTGGGGGATTGTATACATCACAGCCACTTCGCAGTGGCAGTCAGCTAGACATTGTAAGCAGAAAGTGGACCCAAGAGATGAAGGCTCTTTGTGGGACCTCAGATCACATAAAGGCCCTTTCTTCTGCAGCCTGGATATCTGGGAGGCAGGATGGGGGAAGACTGGAGTGAGATTTTCCTTTCAAAAGAACAGTGGAGAAATAAAAGACAGGGAGTTTGAACACCGGCGTCTAACCTGTGATACCAGTAACAAAAGCCTTGCTGGCCTTCCCTGGCTCTTCACAGAAGTCGGCAGTCGCCTGCTTTCAGGCCATACCAGGAGCCCTGAGCCTTCACCTTCAGGTGCTCCGCTGCCACTCCAGGGCCCTGTGTGGGTCGTCCCTGTCAGAAAGTAGAAGCTCCTTGTCGTGTTCTGGAAACAGCTGGGAGCCTTTCACTCACAAGTTGCAAGTCACGTTCAGATGGGCAGCATACCCTTGTTGGGTATGAGTTTATAAATCATGAAAGCAAATCTGATCTTCTGATGGCTATAGAGTAGCTCCCCATGACCTGGAGTCTATCCAATTCATTTTTGGGGGGTGGTACTGGGAATCGAACTCAGGACCTTGCACTTGCTAGACAAGCACTTATGCCACTGAGCTATATCTCCAGCCCCGACTGGTAATCACTGTGGGTTTTTTTGTTTTTGTTTTTTTTTAGATACCCAGAACTGAACTCCAGACCTTGTGCTTGCACCAGGCAGGCACTTGTGCCACTGAGCTATATCCCCGGCCCTGGAATCTAAAAACAATAGAATTTGCCTGCTTTGACCAATATTTTTAACTTGGTGATAAATATAATCTTAATATTATTAAAAGTTAATTCATGATGCTTTTTAAATGGCCAGACAAACTCAGTTGAGAGAGAAATATGGTCCTGTACTATCCTTTAATAGTCTGATTTTCCATTGTCTGTCTATTTGACCAGATTGCCTGGCTATTGGCTATTGCCCACGAGTGGTAAAAACCCAAATAAAAAGGTGTTTACATTCAGCTCCTCTGTTACTGCTAGGAGAACAACATGCAGGTCAGTCAGCCCACTGAGTGGATTTGGTTTTACTTTCTAAAGACTGATTTGGTTTTACCATTCACCTTGGAACTCCCATCTGCAGACCAAGCAGCTACTTCTGGTAGTTGAGAGGTGTTCATGGGGCACAGGCCAAGTACAGCAGAACCTGGCAGCTCACACAGTCTGGTCACCTCTGGTCAACCTGGGCAGAGTTTCCCTGCTTTTTCCACCCCATGGTCCCCTGGTACTGTGATCCAGTATACACTGTCCTGTTTTGTTAGGGACCTGTGGGCGGCACCCTACCCATTACAGAGAAAGTGTTTCTGACCTCACTGAGGTTGCCATGGGTGTTTTGGGCTTCAAGATTATGTATGTCCTTTAGTCAGAAGATCGGTTTCAGTTAACATCTGATTAGAAACTGGTACTTACCCCTCAGATGGAAATTGTCACTCTCAGGGCCTCCAGGCTTCTGACACTGCCCAGGT